GGAACGCCGAGCGTTGCAGCGGAAGCCATGAGCGTTGCATAAAGAACCGACCATGCACTGGGATTTACTGCTGGCTGGCTTTCATTCATGCTCAGTTCTTTCATCGTTTATGTTCAGATCAGTGTAGGCGAACGCCGCTACGCTGCAGCCCCATTCCATTTTGCTAACTGCGCCAAGTTGGGCATCTATTGTGGTGAGAGTCGAGAATTCTCATCACCTACTCACACGAGCAAGACCTGGATGCTAGTAGAAATTGCTTGCTGAGTTGGTAGCGCATCATGTGCCGGATTCAAAGACAGGACTTTGACTTCACAATGACGCTCGTCCCTAGATTCGCTGAATAATAGAAGTTGCGGCACAACAATCAGATTTTATAATTGGAAGTAAAATCGAAATGTAAGTCACGTGCACATCTAAAGTCGAAGTGCATGAGAGGGTTGACAAATCGTACAAAATTTCCTGAAAAAACAACCACATTCTGTCCTCAACTTCTCACACCACAACAACCCTCTCCATTGCCCGTAGGTAAGGTCTCTAGTTGTTTTACTAACGTTGCAACGCACTTCCCCATCAGACTTTTATCCTTAGATGAGCACACCACTAAATAGAAGAAGATAATTTAATCCACTTTTTCGTGAATGTACCATATTCATGCTAAACCTGGAACGGTTTTTAAGTCCTTCATTGACAATAACGCACGCCTCATTGATTTGCGTTAGCTGTCCTCAAATGAAAGTTTCGCCAAACTGTGGATATAATGTGGATCTAAGATTTCTCGACTTGAACATTCGATGAATGTGAGAAATTTCCATCACTGACTAAAGAAGTATGATTGACATATCTGAGAGACGCTCTCCTACTCAACGAAGTCCTCATTGTTCACAGCTTCTTTTTTCTAAGTTCGCTGCCAGAGCAGGGTTGATGAAAGGATTGTATTACTGGAGGGTATTATGACGCTGGTGACAACGTCAAGTTTGGGCTACCGATGGCCTGCACCATCACTATGCTTGCCTGGAGTGTGGTGGAGTTTGGCGACAATTTTCGCGCCACAGGGCAGTTGCATAACGTACTGAACAACATACGCTGGGGAACAGACTATTTCTTGAGTTGCTACACTGAGCCCGAAGAACTTTGGGTTCAGGTCGGTTCTCTACTAACACATCTCCCGCAGATCCAACTCTATTCGTGATGATAAATTAGAATAACACATTATGCCGTTGGACAGATGCAAACTTTTCAAATGGTGCTAAAAAAACTTTGAACCAAATCGGTACAGTTATTGTGAACACAGATATGGGTGCAAGATGAAAGCTAATTCTTTAGTTAATTTGCATGAAATCTGATTCGTAATCACTATTCACCAGTGTCGATGGTGTGCCTAAATTCAGGTCGGTGATGCACACGCCAATCACCGATGCTGGCAGAGACCTGAGGACATGGACACACCGCGCACAGCCTACAAGATCGACGCCAACAATCCGGGATCTGATATCGCAGCGGAGACTGCTGCAGCATTTGCCGCAGCGTCCATGGCTTTTCGTCGTATCGACAGCGAACATTCCAACACTCTCATTCGGAGCGCTAGGCGGGTGAGTCATTTTGATGCCCTCACAATGGATCTTCTCAAAGCTTCAGAAGAATAAGCATCGCAGACATACAGGCAAACCATCCACAGACATGTTATGGAAACTAGTTCAATTATTGTTGAGAGATGTCACATGCTGAAATCTGAAATAACATGGTTAGACTGTTGGCATATTTTCAACTTTGCAAATCAGTATCGAGGCAAGTACAGTGACAGTCTCCCTAAAGCCGTATGTCCTTTCCACTGTTCCTACTCTGGATACCACGTGAGCCACAAACCGAATCTTCCTTCAGATGCATGCATTATCAGTCTCACGTCGTTCTATTTAAAACTTTATTTTGTTGATCCAATGCACTACGTCCAGTTTTGAACAATACGAGAAATTATAAACTTTCAGGATGAACTTGTATGGGGTGCCGCATGGTTGTTTAAAGCCACTCGACAAGACCGCTACCTTCAATATCTAGTGACGAATGGGAAAGCCTTTGGAGGCACGACTGTGCCAGTGAATGCATTTAATTGGGATAACAGATATGCAGGAGCGCAAATACTTGCAGCTAAGGTGAGTAGAATTGCTTGCTTTGCTTTGTACACATGCTCCATTGTCGCGGATCATTCCTTACAACATAATCTAGGGAGGTGAGTCTCAGCCTACAATGAAGCAGAACCAATCGTTTCTGTGGGAAAAATCTGCACATAACTAGGACGAGACGACATCTATAGAATTTCTCGGTTTCAAATGTTTATAATTACATCACAAACCTGGAATCCCTGGACAATTCAACCAAAAATCGTTCACGTCATGCGCAGGCTATTCTAGGGGGAACTCAAGGGCTCCAGCAAGCTTACAAAGACAGTGCCGATGATTATATCTGTCAAGTGTTGCCTTCGTCCATCAGTCCGAGGTCGACGACTGCATACACTCCAGGCACGAAACCCGGCTTCTCGCAGCTTCACAAAATTTAACAATTCCTTGGTCCATACATCCTGAAATGAGTCTTACATACAACCAAAAGCTGTATACTAAATTTTTGTGGTATGTTCAGGTGGTCTCTTGTATCAGACTGGGGGCTCAAATTTGCAGGGTGTGACATCGGCCGCCTTTCTACTAACGAGCTACGCTAGATCGCTAGCGATGGCAAAAGCAACTGTGAATTGCGGAGGCCGCCAGATCACGCCCTCCCAACTTACCACGATAGCACAAAACCAGGTTAGAATTCTGCAAAACTGTCTATACTCAACATATCAACCTTTTTCCATCTTCTCCCCCCCCCCCCCTTTTTTTTTTTTTTTTTTTTTTTTTCGTTCTGTTCTTTTGATTTTCTGTTGTTGCTGGTTTAGCACAAGAAGTCGGTCTCAGTTTTGCATCAGTTGTTGCCAAACGTCAACAAGCAATGACGGTCCTTTCTTCTATGTGACTTGTGTCAGGTGGATTATGTTCTAGGAGACAATCCTAACAGATTGTCTTACATGGTTGGATTTGGCATTTAATATCCATTACAACCCCACCATCGCTCATCATAGTTGCCCTCTATGTCGGCTCTACCACAAAAAATTGGATATGGTCAAGGTTACGCTTATTTTAACAGCAACAATCCTAACCCCAACTTGGCTATGGGTGCAATTGTTGGTGGCCCAGATAAGGATGATAACTTCACCGATGTGAGAAGTAACTTCGCCAGGTTGGAACCTATAACTAACATGAATGCGCCCATAGCTGGAGTCTTTTAAGATAATAATAAAAATAAATTAGCGTCTTGACGTAAAGAAATATTTTGACAGCATAACTTTTGTGGGTTTACTTTAAAGATTAATTAAATATACAAGTAAAAATGTTAAAAACTAATAATTGCAATTAAGATCATTTTTCTTAAAAATAATATTTAATACTTCCATTCAAATTGAAGGCCATGAGATAAACCCAAGTTAAGTTCTAGAGTTTTTATTATGACTTAAATAACCTTGACAATGGTATAGATAAGAACATAAATCAAAGTTACAAAGATGTAATTATAATAGGACTTTTCTTAAATTTAAAATTTACAGATGTTAAACATTTATCATATATATATTAAATACATCTTATAAAAAATTTGATACCAATTCCTTTTTCACTTACTCTCTATATTTTTTCTTATCTTTTTCATGCAACAATGTTCGTTTAAATTTCAAAACTATATTCAAACTAGATTAAATAAAATTCATCTACTTTTCATTCTTTTTTAAATTATTAAAATTTTAATTTAAATATATATATATATATATATATATATATATATTTTGCATAGATTACGATATTTGTCAAAGAATAAATTAAAAACTTCAATCATCAATGGATGGTTTTATAGAATGAAGACTTAAAGTTGTGAGATAGGAAAAAACAAAATAATAATATTTTAACCAAATAATTATCATCAATGTATTAAAATAATTGTAAGCCAAAATAGAAACAAGGCTCATTATTCTAATACTACAAGCATGTCTTCTTTTAAACTTATTTTTGTGATTTCTGTATCCAATATACATATAAATAATTTTGGATTTTATTTAAGATATTCATTTTTTTAGAATTTAAAAAACAAAAAAAATTCTAAAAGAAAATAATACAAGTACATCATTATTTTAAAAAGTACGGAAGATCTAACTAATCTTGCAAAAAAAATAACATTAGTAGAGGTGCTCACTCTTCTTCATAAATACTATAAATTACCATAAATATTCTTGAGAATTCATAAAATAATATTAGTAATGTTGAGGGCACAATGCTGCTAACTTTAAAACATGATTTTAAGGTGCCCAAGCTCACACAAGTATATTTTAAGGCAATAAACACCAATGCTATGGGGGGGAAACTACACCTCTATTGCTGGCTTATTAAAAAATGTTGTAGCACTATGTTTTATTTCACTATAGATAAGCTAAGAAATAAAATGCAGATAAGCAAAACTATATTCACATTGAAAGCAATTCAGTATCTTAACTTTGTTGTGAATATCAATTGAAGATGTAAAAATAACTACAGAAGAAGAATCCTAGAAACACTAATTATAATCAGGGATCCATCAGCTCACCTCCCTCCTTGTTCATAAACGACGTGACGTGATGCAGACCCACAAGATCTCTGCGCACCCTGTCATCCGGATTTCTCCATAATTTCATTCAATGATGACAAGTATTTATGTTCGGTAACACAAGATGCAGGAATATAATGTAAGTTCGATACATCCTCTGGCCTCATGTGCACTGGTTACATTCAGGGAATTGAAGGATAAGACCACCATCATAAATTCCATCAGAAATGGCTCTTGGTAGAGACAAAGCAGTTGCAAAATCACGTGACAGATATGGCCACAAGCACAAAACAACTCAGGATCAAATGTGTATCTACAACACCCAGATTGGAAGGAGAGAGAAGTTATCAATAGCAATGAAAGACTAATCCTTTTGGATAAGTATATTAAAAGACAAATTTTGTTTACGGTACAAGGGGTCAAACAGCACATGGAATTCAGACGACTGTCCCATCTGTGGGCATGACGTTGGTTAAGCAACATAAGCCATACTATTACCCTATTACATAATCCACGAGGATTGCTAGAAACAATTTCGCAACATCATCCTTGTTACGAGAACTTGTCTTCCGAAAGCGTAGTAGCTTACAAACGACAACCCCACTAATGACTGCACAGAGATCTGAAGTACGAGCTTGAAACGCGTACAAAAAGAATACGTCAATGAGATTTTGGGACAAAAGCAAAATCTCCGCGTCTACAGGTTTCAGGATCTCGGCCCGGAGTGTATGCATCGCAAAGAGGGAAGTGTAGGCAAAGTGGCCAAACTACCCCGAGGAATTTTAAATCAGATACGAAGTAGTGAATCCTTCCCTAGTCGGAGAAGTCCTCGTAGGAGAAAGCCTCGAGATTCACTTCAAGAATAACCTCCAACTAAATCCTGGCTTCGTTCATGTCCTGATCGACCTCTTGTTCGGATATAATCTGTTCAGAGTGTTCGACGTTCTCCAAGCCCAGTGGGTCAGAAGAATCTCTGCGAATTTTTTGCGTCTTGAACGATCCAAGAGCCCGATGAGAGTACCCGTATTTCTCAAGCACCTGATTATCTGCAAAATTGAATGCCCGCTCCATCTGTCTGAAGCATTCGTCGTTCTCAGCGTTCGCTCCTAACTTGCAAGGTTTGCACCCAACAAAGTGAGTCACAAAAGGCCATCTCTCATCACCATACCCCGGGTGGTTCTTGGCCATCATTTCCTCGTAGTTGTAAACCACATACTTCCAGTACCCGTGCAAGAAGAACTCCCACTCAAGATATGTGTGAGCCTTCCACTTAGGATCACCATGCAGAATGAGATACACAAGAGCGGATTGGTCATCCGCCTCAAAAGCAGGTCGATCTACGAGCTTCTCAGTAAACAATTCGCCTGCAGAATATCGCACAGTGAATATAAGAAGAGAGTATTGCCCATGCATCCTTTCAAGATATGATGGTGATTCATTTCAAAATCAGACGAGAACAATTTACCAGGTCAATCAAGTCAAATCGATGCATGTCAAAGAAGTCAACATCTTCTGGTCTACATTCCGAACAACCAGAACTGGACAATGTAACGAAACTACTGCTACACATCAAACTCTGTAGATGTATTCCACCTAACAAGGTGCGTACGCTTTTAATTAGTGTTACAATCTCCGTCAATACCACTTCCAATTAGCACAGCATTTCAGATACCACGAGGCTCTACAGAATTTCCCCAGGCCAAAAAGAACGTGGAACATGCCCTCTACTGGCAGAAGAAGTCAAACAGACGACACAAAGCTCCATCTATCAGCGAAATAGAGTTGAAGTGTGCAGAACAGAAATTTCACAAAGTCGGGACTAATTCGCTGAAAACGAAAGGGGGCACAAATACCAGCAACACAATGCGCTTAAACTCTAACCATGTCCCAAAGACTTCACATTGTGACGCATTTCCATCTAAGTAAATGCAAGAGGTGCTGAAAGAAGGTGGTACCTGCTTTAACCCTAGTTGGTCCTTGTGGTCCAAAGGGGGCTAATGCGTCGAGCAAATCCAACGACCACTGACAGTTCCTAATGAGGAAACTGCCAGTGTTCAGACCTATCCAGCGATGCTGCTCATACAATAAGTTATGAAACCCGTGCACGATCAAGTTGTTATTCCCGTACTTCTCCATGGGCATCTCAAAGGTAAAGTCAGTGAAAATAGCATCACTATCCATCCACCATACCCACTCAACGTCAGGGTGATTGAGCATCATCTTTCTCAGTAGAGGCAGCTTCGCCCAGAAAGAGCTCATCTCCTTCTCAAAGGTGGCCATATTGTAAAAGAACTCAAGTCCATGAAGGCGAGCGTAATCAATCCTGTTTTTCAGAAACTTCAAGTGATAGAAGTCACCCATTGGGTTGGCACAGGGTCCCGGCTGAGATCCCGAAACGAGCAACGTCTTCGGTTTACCGCTCAAAGTTTGGTTCATACCTGCATTCAGAGTATTCCACGTCTCTCGTTGCGCATCCCAATCCGTGATTTTAGGACCCAGGGTGTAAGGCGTATTCGGGTCCCAATTCTCCTCTTCCACGAACTTACTAGCAGTGACCTCATCGGGAATCGCTTCTTCAACCTGAGCTAGTACGCGTGCTCTCTGCGACCTGATAATCTGGTCCCTCAAGTCAACTGACTGCGGGTTGCCCCCGAAGAATCCTCCAGGACCCAGAGTACCACGGAGCACCAGGATAGTGATGCACCCGCACAGAATGGTGATCTTAAAAGTGTTCAACGACTTCATCACTTTGCGGCCTTTGGGTGTGGCGAGAAACCGCTGAGGGTTGTACGAATGCAGCTTGGCCTTCATATGGTCGTGAGAAAGTTGACGGAACATCGTGTTTTCTGTTACTTGACGCATCTTCTTGCCGTTCTATAATGAAAGTGTTTGTTGGGAGTGTCGTTATGATAAGAAGTCAGCTCACGCAAGAACCATCGTGACAAGATCACAAGCCATCGTAGAGAAGCTAAACAACCTCCGTGTCCGCTTCCGCGTTTCAAAAGAAACGCAAATTACAAAGTCTAACAATGCAGGTGGCTTACCCAGCTCTTACGCAGTTCACACGACTCCAAGATCGCATTTTATGTCCCCCAACGCACCACGAAAACGTAGCAGATCCACGAGGACTAGCTTGGTGATGCACATGAGGGCCAACGGCAGGGACAGTGATTCTTACAAGAGCGGAAATGAGAGTACGGCAGCTGCTCACATCCGAAGCCTAGAAACAAGCACAAGTACCATCTACTTGCAAAGAAACAAAGTATCCAGCTTCAGTACACCCGAGTAAGTGCGCATTCAAATCACAGCAACTAAAATGCAAACTACGTACAAACAAACTCCACTCGAGGCCGTCCGCGAGAGTGCTCAAATGCATCACCCCCGGCCTCATCCCCGGACCAGAGCTCAGGAATCCCAACCTCAAAACCAACCAGAGCGTTAATAAATGCAGTGCTCTGTGCAGGAATACACACAAACACACATTATGCACGGAATCTCACGGGAGTCCCGGAGAAAAGCACATAAGCCGCTGATGATGATAATGATTCATTCGGCCTCTAGCACTCACCACCAGGTTGACACTTCCCCCTGTCCTGGACCCCCTTTCCAAGGCAAACATCTCCCCCCTAACCCCCCATTTCCTTCACCCCAGACAAACTAAATAAACAAATTTATTTATTTATTTATTCATAATCCTAGAACTCAGTTCACCATAAATATGGTCAATGCGTTCGGCGATGGAATCAACTGTCATAAATGCAAGCAAACAATCAAAACCATCCATGGCTGTAGTAACCCTGATAGTGCCTCACCCAATGGTGGTTAAGTTCAGTAAAATTCTTACCGCAAGTAAAAGTTCGAGAAGCAGGTGGTTGTGCGCGGCAAGGGAGGTGGTGGGGTGGAGTTGCGAGGCGCGCCAGAGCGAGCGAACAGCAATGGTGGCGCGGTCAGATCTCGGATCTAGTGCAATTTCGGAGGATAAAGGCCCCCCTATCAAGCTAGCTAACCCTACTGTAGCTGGGGAGGGGCCAGGCTGCGCTGCGCTGCTCTGCTCTGGCTTCTTCTGGCTATCCTTGGAAAGGGGGATTGCACGACGACGACGACCCTCGTCCATAGTTTTTGAATTTCTCGTTGGCTCTGACGATCGGCGGACAATCGTCACTGGACAATGTGGCATCGTGGGGGAACACCGCGTGGGAACACCGCGTGGGAACGCCAAGTGGGAACGCAGTGAGAGCAGAAGGTTCTGGTTGGAGAAGAGTGTTGTTTTGCATGGGCTCCAATTGTGCCACACCCCATGAAAGAGAGAACTCGGCCCTTTGGACTTTGTCCAGTGTCATGTGTTCGAAACAAAGGGCTTACGTCAGTTTTTTTGCTTATTATTGTATTATTGTAAAGTGTAGACTCTTCTTTTTTCTTTTGTCGTTTTATGCTATTGGCTCTTTTATGATAATAATAAGGCGAATGTTAAATAGACCCCAGTTTTTACTAAATTGACTCACCTATCTTAACCATCATAGAGAGAGAGAGAGAGAAAAAAAAAAAAAAAAAAATCTCTAGATCTATAATCAATAAAAACCAATCTCATTCATCTTAATTATCATATTCTTTATCTTCATCAAAGGTGGGTTTATTTAGTCAAAACACAAATCTATTTAACATTCTTTAATAATAATAATAAAATAATAGCAACATCAAAGATGATATTTTGTATAGTTTCAAAGTAATTTTTAATAATGTTGTTTTTCTTAGAGTTTGCTTATGCCAAAAGTTGATAATTTAATTTTAATATGTATAATATTTGAATATGATTATAAAATATCTAAATTATAATGGACATATATATGGCATAGTGTCACAGCCATATATTTACTATAATTGTTATCTAGGTGATATGAATAGGTAGAAGTAAATAAAAATAGATTAATTTTATAATATCTTCTAGAGTAGCTTCCTAGAAGCTTCATAGATGCTACTTTGACTTTACATGTGTTTATACTTGATTGGTAGGTTAAAACTTGGTCAACAAGTTAACCACGTGCCACACATGTTAGTAGCTTGCAGAACAAGCTAACTATGTGGCGCCTACATAGAAAACTTGGCTTGCAAGTTAAGATACATATTGTATAAAGTCAACATGTTTTTGGAGGTCATATAAAATGTCGCCATATAGCTCCTAAGTAGATAGTATATATAGAGGCAAGAGTGAAGCCTTCTTCATTCTTGTCAATTCCTTTCTTGCTTCTAGTCTAGTTTGAAGGATATCTAATTTTCTTGTCTTTGGGAATAGCCATTCCTATTTCTTTCTTAATATACATATTTAATTATTTCTATTTTTTCATCTTTCTTTGAGAAAAATCTCACTTGTTTATTTTTTTTTATCAAGTTCTTGTCCTTGACGAATTGACAAGAGTGCACTTACAATATCAGAGCTTTGTCTAATTGATTAAGAGTGGATTACCCCTTTCTCTTGATAAGACATAAGCGTATTAGAAGTTACGGATTATCCTCTTCTAAACTGATATTGTTCTTAGTATTTTCTTTGTTCTCAAGTCCTCTCTCCTATTTGTCTTGAGCGATATTAGACATCTTTTCTTCTCTAAGTGTTACCATGACAGAACTTGCTGATTGAAGAGTGCAATGGCACAAATCCAAGAGCAATTGAGGAAATTAATGTGTACGATGCATCAAATCAACATCTACACCAAATCATGTCCCTTCTCCTATGGTGGAACATCCTTTTAATGTTGGAGAACAAGGAATTGTCCTACCCGAGAAGTTTAATGGCACTAGAACAAAGTTTAGAGGATTTATCAATCAGATACAACTTGTGATTGAACTTCAACTCCAAAGCTATCCAATTCCAGGATCGCAAGTTAGATTCATTGGTATGCTTCTTTCAAGTTCGACATTATCATGGTTTTCATCATTTTTTGAACGATGAGATTCAATATTAGATAATTTGGAGACTTTTTTGGTGGAGTTTCAATCCATATATGGAGAACATGATACAATTCATATTACAACCAATAAGATTTGTATTTTACGACAAAGCAATCGATTAATAACGTTGTATGCTTCATAGTTTTGACAAATTACAACTGATATCAAGTGGAATGATGCTGCACTTGTTAGCCAATTTCTCTATGGATTATAATATGAGGTAAAAAAAATTAATGCTCAACTTACCTGATCCTCAAACATTAAGAGAAGCGATTGAATTTGCTATGAAGTGTAACAATCGTCTTTTTGAATTTCAATCTAAAAACCGTACAAGTCAACCTTAACGTTACTATAATTCAATCGCAATACCAACATCTGTTTAACACATACATTCAAAAGTAGAGGATATGCAAATTGATGTGGTACATTTCAAACCTCTTGTTGAGCAAGAAAAGACTCGTTGTCATCAAGAAGGATTGTGCTTATATTGTGGAGAACCTAAGCACACTGCTCAATATTACCCAAAGAAGTGACGCAACTATAAAATGAAGAGTATGGCTATCAAAGAATATAGTATGTTAGAAAATGAGTTTGTTTAGCTACAATAGGGAATGTGCAATTAGAACCTTGTACAACACCTAGTAAAGGTCTCATTTTCTCCTTAGAATCCTCTCCTTGTTTTAAGATAAATGTTATTTTAGGATCTAAATATTACAAAGCCTTTGCTTTGTTAGATTCAAGATCCTTAGTATGTTTCTTAGATGAAGAATTTGCTAAAAGACATAGCATACTTTTAGTGAAGAAAACTAAATCTATTCATGTAGAAGTCATACATGATTGTTCATTGTCTTCAAGAGATGTTATTCATGAAACTCTTCCTATAGAAGTAGCAACTAATGGTCATAGTAGCTTTGTAATATTTAATATCATTAGATCTCCCTCTAATCGAATTATTTTAGATTTATCATTACTAAAAAAATATAACTCTAAAATAGATTGGACTTCTTGTAGTCTTAACTTTTTTGAAAGTATAATTAAGAGCATAATTAATCAAGTAGAAAGTCATAAGTCTAGTATAATTAAACTTATATATGTAAGTATAAGAGCTTTCTTGTATGTTGCAAAAGAAGGATCACCTTTTGTCATTTATGCCGCATCTATTTCTATTGGTGGAAAGACTTCAAGTGGTATTCCAAGCCAATATCAATATTCTTAAGATGTATTTGAGAAGAAGAATGCGGATACTCTTCCAGTGTTGTATTATGTGATATGCTATTTAAGAATACACAAGATATCTAGTTGTAGAGAGTTTAAGTTAAAATTTTATATAAATCTTATCTTAGCTTCTAAAACTCATTTAATTTGCATAAAACTCAAAATATAACAAAATCCCTTCAAAACATATTTTTCCAGCGAATGATTATTTCTTCTTAAATTTTAGAAATTCATAATTCTTCATCTAGCTATTTAGTTTGTCTCTAATTTATAGAATAGGTAGAATTCATCTTTAAATTTTACTATTAAAAAAACCAACTACAAATTCACTCCCAATCTTGTAGCATCTAAGAAATCCTAACAGATACTCTAAACCCTAATTTACAAGCATTCGAGCACTATTTTCTAAATATCTCAAGAATTCAATACTCAAATGTCATCAAACTTATGTACAAAGTTTACTAACATGAATATACACATTTCTTAAAATTTTGAGCCAAAACCTTGTCAAATTGCTCAAGATATGGCTCAAGACTCAACCACTAGTAAATCGGGTTACTTACTACCTTTAGATTGCATGTGCTGACTTCAAAATCTAATATCTCCTTTATCCCAACTTTGAATCCAGCAAGAAGTATACAAAAAATATAGCCGCAAAAGTGGTCTCTCCAATCACAGTTGTCGATTCTCAATTACCCTCTGTACGCTTACATTATATCAAAAAGAGTGACAGTAGCTCCCAAATCAATACCTTAATTTTGAGCGCATATATCTCCTTCATATAAACACCAAATCATACAAGATTTGTACCAAAAACCATAGCCAAAAATCTTAACTTATTGATCCTAGTTTTCAAAGCTTGAATGGCTTCGAAAAACTTACCCTAATCTCTAATATGGCCTTAGGCAGCCTCCTCAAAGTCCATTGGTCATAATTTTTGATCAATAGGAGATGAGATTTTCATCATCCATCTCCATTCATCTATATAGATGTCCTAAACTCTCTTTGCTACTGTCACGGACCAAAAATACAAACAAGAAATCTAAACAAGAAGTTCAAGAAGAAATGACAAGAACTAGATTATCAGATGAGTATAAGAGCAACGCCAAGAGAATTGAGCTAGAGCTTCAAGAGATGTATTGTCGAGACTGAAGAATTCTTCAGCCTCGACTCCTATATATACTACTGGCCTATGGTTCTAAGGAAGCGCATCAAGAAGCTTCTCAAGAACTATGAAGCTTCTCGAGCAACTATCCAAGAGCTAGGAAGCTTCTCAAGTAACTTCCTAGAATCTACTAGAATATTCTAAGAATCTTCTAAAGCCTTCTAAGGGAATCTTTAGGGAATCTTCAAAGAATTTTAAGGGAATATTTAAAGAA